TGGTGAAACACTTGGACACAGGACAAGTAATTATTATTATTATTATTATTATTATTGGTGCCACTCCTGAGGCTTGGACTCAGGGCCTGGGTGCTGTCCCTAAGCTTTTTTTGCTCAAGACTAGCACTCAACCACTTGAACCACAGCTTACTTCCGGCCTTTCTGGTGGTTAACTGGAGATGAGTCTCATAGACTTTCCTGCCCAGGCTGGTTTCCCACCATGATCCTCAGATCTCAGTCTCCTCAGTAGCTAGGATTGCAGGTGTGAGACCACTGGCGCTGGCCTTTTCTTCTATTTATGCAGTGATAATTTTATGCAGCCATATGATCTTTTTTTTTACCAGCTCTGATTGCTAATGAATGAAACTCTTTCAAAGCTACAAATAACACAGGCTAAATAAAATCAAGCCTATTCCTGAAGGCTGTAAAATCACCTACTCCACTGGCGCGACCAGGACCGGGGCTTTCCGCTCCCCTCCGTCCCTCCACATAACGTGCCCTGGGGGCCTTTCAACCGTGGGTACCCACCCTAAGCCACAAGGGCCTGAGGGCCAGTTTAAGCGGCAAAGCCGCCAAGGTGGCGCGGCTCCCTGGCGGGATTGAAATCACCTGCTCAAGGTGGGGCGGTCGGTTTGCGGGTCGGGCAAGGAAGGGTCGGCTCCTGCCAGCCGGTGCTCCCATTCACTCCAGCCACCTGGCGGCCAGCGATCTGCGCAAGCGCGAAGTCACGCGCCCTCTCCCGCCAGACTGACCGCCCTAGATGGGCGGGGTCACAGGAAGGAGGCGGGACCTCAGGAAAGAGGCGGGCCTGGGGCCCGGCGCGAGCGCCTGAAGGGGCGGGGCCTAGGGCGAGCCCTATAAAATTGGTGCGCGCGCTCGGCGGAAAGGGCGGGCCTGGGCGCGGGCGGAGGCGGCTGAGGCGGCTGAGGCGGCTGAGGCGCGGAGTCTGTGGTGCCTGTGGTGCCGCAGACTCTGCGGGCGAGGCCGGGCGGGGACGCGGGAGGAGACTGGAGGACACTCACGAGTGCGGGGTGGCGCCGGTCCACCTGCGCGGCTCGCCTGGCTCCCGCTGGCTTTCGGAGGCGGGCGCGGGCTGCGGCGGGCGCGGC